GGATTCGGCCGGGCCCCACTTTGATTTGGCTCGGGCCCCACTTGGGCCCCACTTGGATTCGGCTTGGCCCCGCTTGGATTCGGCTCGGGCCCCACTCGGGCCCCACTTGGATTCGGCTGGGCCCCACTTGGATTTGGCTCGGGCCCCACTTGGGCCCCACCTGGATTCGGCTGGGCCCCACTTGGATTTGGCTCGGGCCCCACTTGGGCCCCACTTGGGTTCGGCTGGGCTCCACTTGGATTTGGCTCGGGCCCCACTTTGGCCCCACTTGAATTCGGCTGGGCCCCGCTTGTAGTTGGCTCGGGTCCCACTTGGATTCGGCTGGGCCCCACTTGGATTTGGCTCGGGCCCCACTTGGACCCCACTTGGATTCGGCGGGGGCCCTCTTGGATTTGGCTTGGGCCCCACTCGGGCCCCACTTGGATTCGGCTGGGGCTGGGCCCCGCTTGGATTTGGCTCGGGCCACACTTGGGCCCCACCTGGATTCGGCTGGGCCCCTCTTGGGCCCCACTTGGGCCCCACTTGGATTCGACTGGGCCCTACTTGGATTTGGCTCTGGCCCCACTTGGGCTCCACTTGGATTCGGCTGGGCCCCACTTGCATTCGGCTCCGGCCCCACTTGGGCCCCTTTTGGGCCCCACTTGGATTCGGCGGGGCCCCCACTTGGCACTTGGATTTGGCTCGGGCCCCACTTGGGCCCCACTTGGATTCGGCTGGGCCCCACTTGGATTTGGCTCGGGTCCCACTTGGGCCCCACGAGGCGGATTAAGGACCTACCGGAGATGCGCGCGCCATCTTTGTCAACGCAGCCTCCGTGCAGATTGCATTATTATGCGCAGCGCGTCGCGCAATCGTGTTCGGTCGCATGTATTCATGCACATGCCGAGCCCCTGGGCCAGACCCTGAACATTTGTTGAGGAGATTCAAGAAACCAGCCTGCGCGAGACCATGAATTTCGTAACCCATGATTTCTTAACCATTTCGCGAGGTGTAGTAGTCGTATCCGTTAGCAGTCGCCGTAGTAGTAGAGTAGTAGTAGTAGTAGTAGTCGTCGTCGTCGTCGTCGTCGTCGTCGTCGTCGTCGTCGTCGTCGTCGTCGTCGTCGTCGTCGTCGTCGTCGTCGTAGTCGTAGTCGTAGTCGTAGTCATAGTCGTAGTCGTAGTCGTAGTCGAAGTCGTAGTCGTAGTCGTAGTCGTAGTCGTAGTCGTAGTCGTAGTCGTAGTCGTAGTCGTAGTCGTAGTAGTAGTAGTAGTAGTAGTAGTAGTAGTAGTAGTAGTAGTGTAGTCGTAGTAGTAGTCGTAGTCGTAGTCGTAGTAAGTAGTAGTAGTAGTAGTAGAAGTAGTAGTTAGTAGTTTTAGTAGTTTAGTAGTTTAGTAGTTTTTAGTAGTTTAAGTAGTTTAGTAGTAGTAGTAGTAGTAGTAGTCGTAGTAGTAGTAGTAGTAGTATAGTAGTAGTAGTAGTAGTAGGAGTAGGAGTAGGAGTAGTAGTAGTAGTAGTAGTAGTAGGAGTAGGAGTAGTAGTAGTAGTAGTAGTAGTAGTAGTAGTAGTAGTAGTAGTAGTAGTAGTAGTAGTAGTAGTAGTAGTAGTAGTAGTAGTGGTGGTAGTAGTAGTAGTAGTCCTACTGGTCGCAGTAGCAGTACGTGACAGTAGTATCAGTAGTAGTAGTAGCAGTAGCAGCAGCAGCAGTAGTAGTAGTAGTAGTAGTGGATTTGTAGTAGACGTGGTAGTAGAAGGATTAATACTGAGTGTCACAGCGTGGTGTCACAGCGTAGTGTTGGGGACACTTGGGCGTGACACTACGCTGTGACAGCACGCTACGGTTAGCGTATTGTCATAGCGTAGTGTTGGGGACATTTGGGCCTGACACTACGCTGTGACAGCACGCTACGGCCAGTAGCGTAGTGTCATAGCGTAGTGTTCGGGACACTTGGGCGTGTTACTACGCCGTGGAAGTACGCTACGGTTCGCGTAGTGTCATAGCGTAGTGTTGGGGACACTTGGGCGCGACATTACGCTATGACACTACAGAGGATTTTGCGCTGCGGTTAGCGTAGTGTCATAGCGTAGCGTTGAAGACACTTGGGTGTGACATTACGCTATGATACCGCGCTACGGTCAGCGTAGTGTCAGAGCGTAGTGTTGGGGGCATTTGGGCGTGACACTACGCTGTGGCACGACGCTACGGCTAGCGCGTCATAGCGTCGTGTTAGGGGACGAATGGGCGTGACAGTACGCCATGACACAACGCTGCGATTAGCGTAGTGTCTTAGCGTAGTGTTGGGGACACGTGGGCGTGACACATCCGCTATGGCACCACGCTGCGGTTAGCGTGAAGTTAGCGTAGTGGCATAGCGTCGTGTCAAATTGCACGGGTAATACATATATATATATATATATATATATATGGTCTTAGTGGTAGTAGTGGGATTGGCAGTAGTAGTTATTAGTAGTAGCAGTAGCACGAAGATGGATTAGTAGTACGTAGTAGTTGGAGCAGTAG